ACAGTGTTACAGTTTTTTAATAATGGAAAATGGAAAAAAAAATTGATATGGTTGAGATCTTGAGAATGATGCATGATGGCCGAGTTTTCCACTCTCGGTTTCATGTCGCTGCTTTTAATCTATGTTTATAATCTCCATAATCAAGTATAGAGGAAGTACAATGACTTTGAATTTGTGGCTTCTAACAGAACTAGCATGCATTTGTTTTTAAACCTTTCATCTTTATAAAAGAGCATGCAGTCAAGCTCCAAGGTTCTCAGGATACTGCTGTGACCCATCTAACATCACAAACATATACACACCTTCATTACTGCAACAAAGTCATGTTTCGTAGCAGCTCTGATTCAGCTCTGAAACAGCTTCTATGCACATCCATGCACAAAGAATACAAGGATCTAAAGCATTGTGATATATGATTATATCAGTACAACCCATATTTTAGACTGTAAACAGCTCATTTTGAGGTCAGCCCTAATCTGACTCACACCGAAAAATGGTTCCTATTAATGAAATGGATCGAATACCACAGCCCTTGGCCACCCTCCAGTTCCTGGTTGTTTACCACTCGCTGGTTTTCCTCGAACAGTGAAGAGTTCTTGGAAAATCTTGGCTGTGCAAAGAGCGTCTCGAGTCCCTTCAGATCCCTCATACATTCCACTAGCGCACACATGCACTCTTTTACTACAAAAGCCTCTGATTAGCTGAGTGCATTGTCCTTCACAACCAAAGCATAATGCAGTGTTGTTGCGTGTGACGTACCATCTGCACTTCATCTGTGCTGCCGCTTAATTAGATTGCGGGTTCAGGGTATATTCACTGTGTGTGTGTTTCACAGCTATCTTTAATCTGAACTCTCATGCGTACGGTTCTTTATGGTGAAACCGGATGAATTGCACCATTTAAACAGCTAAATTTGTCCCGCAATCTCCACCACATTCTGGTCTGCTATTAACATCTGTTTCATATCCAGATACTGTATCTTAAGAAGTTTCATTCTTAAAGTGTGCTCACATTTTCTGTTGCTTGTCAAAATTCTTGTCAAAATCCAATCATTCCAATAGGAATCCGGAGTTTCACTGACGAACAGAAAGTGGCTTCTGTTTGAGCTGTGCTTCATATATCTCTGTTCTTCACGAACAATGGACATTTTTTGCAATTTCATTACAATTTCGCAATTGTAACTAATTGCAATTTTCACTATTTTTTATTTATTTTCGCTAATTTATTTATTTATTGTGTAATCTATTTAATTTATTGTATTTTTTTATTTGTTGATTTATTTCATTAATTTATTGTTTTATTTTGAGGCTATTTACAAAGAATCTTTAAATTGTGTAGATCTTGCATTAATTTTTTTCGCTTATTTGTTTGTAATTTATTTTATTTATTGAAATTTTATTTGTTGATTCATTTCATTCATTTATTATTTTATTTTTAAGCTATTTACAAAGAATTTTTTTTTTTTTACTTAATGTTTTATTTTGTTTTATTTGTTTTATTTATTGTATTATTCATTTATTGTTTCGTTTCATTATTTATTGTTTCATTTTAATTATCCTTCACAGTTGTTCTATAAACTTTACGTTCCATAAACTTCCCTCTGAGACTTTAATTAATGCTAAATATAATGTATTTCATGACATCTTCAAATGTTAATAATTTTGCGATTTTCGCTAATTTCGTAACCACGCCTTTAGTTTCTCTGTAACCTTTTGCAGTACTTTGGATCAGGTCAGCAAGTAAAATAGCGATTGGTGAATTATTTTTCTTTTCTTTTCTCTCAGGACCTCCATTGTCTGGATGATCTGCCGATATTCTCCCCTCCGACCGACTCCTTAACCGAATACACCGTTAATAACTTAATTAATACTGACATGCCTCCCAACGTGCCCACGATATGGGACATCAAAACACCAGCATCAGTCCAAGAGGTGAGGCCAATTCCTGACACGCACTTATTCCAAATGCTGATGTTGAGCTTAACCAATGGTTTTCAGTCGTTTTTGGCATTTATGCCGAATATTATTTCCGTAGTACGAGAAACCACACCTGTGATTGACACACCCATGAACTGAACCTTTGTTCCCACTCTGATAGTAAAGCATGTGATCTTTCTGTTGGCTTTAACGTTTTCTTTTGTTTCTCTTTTTCCTCTTCAGTTGAATTCTAACAGGTTTCAAGGTTTAAACTCGTTAGATGACATCAGTGCTATCATTAATACACCACCCATAGGAGGTTATCAGGTAATTGTATGTTTTTAATAATGAATAATATATATTTTTAGAAAAACTGTAGTAGTAGTTGTAGTTAATACATTTTTATTATACATAAATAAATGATTTTTAAATAAAATAATTTAAATAAAAGCATACTAAAAATGTAATTCAAAAATATTTTTATACAAATATAAATATTATTTCTTTAACATGTAAATGAGATTTCAGTGCCTCTGTAAAGTCTTTCTCTTTCTGTTTTTCTTCTCAATCATATCACGTGTTTACACAGAGACCCCAAACACAGCCAGAAGAGGAAGAGGAAGTCGAGGTGGAGGAAGCAGAAGAGCTGGGTCATGTTGACACCTATGCAGACTACAGGCCCTCTAAATGTGAGCATTGATTTTTGGAATACATTTTATGGCTATTCGTGTCCTACTGGAGGATTTATATTGTTTTCGCTTTCTCTTTTGCTATCTTAGCCAAGATAGGAATATCTCATCCAGACCGAGTGGTGGAGACCAACACTTTGTCCAGCGTACCTCCTCCAGATATCACCTACACCCTGTCCATCCCAGAGACCACCATAAACAGCGGCCAGCTCTCTGCCTTGCAGCTGGAGGCCATTATCTACGCCTGCCAGGTACCCCGACCAGCTTTGCCTTTCTTCTCCCACTTAGTTAAACAACATGCACAACAAAACCTTAAAAGAAAATAATGGACTGAACTCTTTCATGCAAATAAATAAATAATTTTAAAAAAAATGTGTATATATATATATATAAAAGAGGCTATTTACAAATTATTTAAAAAATTGTTTAGATCTTGCATAATTAAGTTATTTGTTTATTTATTGCTTGATTTGTTTTATTTATTGTATTTATATATTTTGTTTTCATTTATGTATTGTTTAACTCTGAAGCTATTATAAAAAAAAATTTAATTGTTCAGATCCTACTTTATTTATTTATTGTGTAATTTATTTTATTTATTGTATTATTTATGTATGGTTTTATTTTTAGGCTATTTACAAAGAATTTTTAAATTGTTTCGATCCTGCATTTATTTATTTATATTTATTGTATTATTTATTTATTGTTTTATTTTGAGGCTATTTACAAATATTTTTAAATTGTTTAGATACTGCATTTATTTATTTATTTTGAGGCTATTTTCAAATAATTTTAAATTGTTTAGATCCTGCATTTATTTATTTATATTTATTGTATTATTTATTTATTGTTTTATTTTGAGGCTATTTACAAAGATTTTTTAAATTGTTTAGATCCTGCATTTATTTATTTATATTTATTGTATTATTTATTTATTGTTTTATTTTGAGGCTATTTACAAAGATTTTTTAAATTGTTTAGATCCTGCATTTATTTATTTATTGTTTTATTTTGAGGCTATTTACAAAGAATTTATAAATTGTTTAAATCATGCTTGTATTTATTTATTTATTGTATTCATTATTTATTGTTTTATTTTGAGGCTATTTAAAAGGATTTTTAAATTGTTTAGATCCTGCATTTATTTATCTATTTATTTATTACTTTTTATGTTTTATTGTGTCATTTGTGTTGCTTATTGTATTATTAATTCTTTTTTTTTTTGTCATTATTTATTGTTTCATTTTAAAGTAAAAAAAAAACTATAGGCCTACTGTATATATACCCTGCACAGTTCATTAAGGCTGTATTTCCCAAAATTATGTCTGTCAAAACTTTTATGACCGACATTATTTACTATAAACTTCCCTCTGAGACTTTAATTAATGCTACATATAATGAATTTCATGACATTATCAAATTTTAATAATTTGGAATAATTAATTAAAACAATAAAACATTTAATTAAAACAAACTTTTTTAACTTAATTTTATATTGCATGTTAAAAGTTATACACTTTTATTTAATTCAGCATTGGTATTTCTCTCATAATCTCACAAACGCCCCGGCAGTTCCATCATAAAGATATAGTAAACTCAGTATCAGACTGTTTGCAAATATTTTATTCTTTCTAATCATTGATATCGACTTCTTTATAACACTCTACAGCAACATGAAGTGATTCTGCAGAAGAACCAGCGGGCTGGCTTCCTCATAGGGGACGGCGCCGGAGTGGGCAAAGGCCGCACAGTGGCTGGCATCATTCTAGAAAACTACTTAAAGGGAAGGAAGAAAGCACTATGGTAAGCGATCTCCAGATCCGTCAAGCCTTACAAAACTCGCACCGTTGACTCCACAACAAAGACCAACTCTAGATCCGATGCCTCATCCTCCTCATCTCTCCTCCAGGTTCAGCGTCTCCAATGACCTGAAATATGATGCAGAGAGAGATCTCCAAGACATCGGTGCATCCAATATACAAGTGCATGCCTTGAATAAGGTCACTATTACTGTGCGGCTCAATACGGCAGCCCTGTTAACGGAGATCACGTTTCCAGTGATGCACATTCTCACAGACTTTCCCCGTAGCTTTTCTCAACGCATCTAACTGTAACTGTTTTCCATGCAGATAAAATACGGAGACACAGCTACCTCAGAAGGGGTCCTGTTTGCGACCTACTCGGCACTAATCGGGGAGAGTCAGGCGGGCGGCCAACTCCGAACGCGCCTGAAGCAGATCTTAGACTGGTGTGAGCCGGGTTTTGATGGAGTTGTATCCTTCACCTTCTATGTGCATAAAATTGATTTTGTTGGCAGGGGTTTGCTAACCTTAAACCCCTTGCAAAATACATGTTGTTTCCAAAAATTAAAGCAATATTAAAAATTCAGTGTTATCACAATAATACATATAATAACAATATAAATATTTATTACAATTCTGGAAATTGAAAAATGAAAAAAAACTGAAGATGAAACACAAATCTGGAAAATAGTCGTAATACTTTTCATTATTATTATTATTTATAATAATATTAATATATGTAATATTATTATATATAAAAGATTATACAATTTTTTTATATTTATTTAATGTTTTTATTTACATTTTTTGTTTTTTCTAATCGGCATTAAAATACCATTTCCATTGTCAATATTGTTTTCTTTGTATACCACTTTTTACTCTTTTTTTTTTTAAGCAACATTGGTATTGTAAATAGTCGTAATACTTTTCATTATTATTATTATTTATAATAATATTAATATATGTAATATTATTATATATAAAAGATTATACAATTTTTTTTATATTTATTTAATGTTTTTATTTACATTTTTAGTTTTTTCTAATCGGCATTAAAATACCATTTCCATTGTCAATATTGTTTTCTTTGTATACCACTTTTACTCTTTTTTTTTTTTAAGCAACATTGGTATTGTTAATGGTGCATTTTATGTGTCATGTATAATTTACTTATTTAATGTAATGTTTATTTATATATTATTTATAGTATAATATGTTATTTTGTTTAACACTATTTTTATTTCTTACTGTTAAAATCTTACTGTTTTCCTTTTAAGATATATGCAGGCCCCATTGCAACTTCTGTTTTCTGTTTTTTGAACATTTTGTTTTGTTTTAACAATCCTCAGCAAAATATGTCGGTGATATGAGTGTGAACAGTGAAGTTGGTTTTACCCTTGACCATAGACATAGATTATATTTGACGAATGCCACAAAGCCAAAAATGCAACATCCACAAAGATGGGCAAGGCCGTGCTGGATCTGCAGAACAAGTTGCCATCAGCCAGAGTGGTATACGCCAGTGCCACAGGTGCCTCGGAGCCAAAGAACATGATCTACATGAGCCGCCTGGGGATCTGGGGAGAGGGAACGCCCTTCAGAACCTTTGAAGACTTCCTCCACACCATTGAGAAGAGGTTTGTAGAGGAGCACGAACTTGTTAGCTGGCGAGTATGAAAACAGTCCTTTTTGGATATGTAATCTGATTGCACTCTTCATTGATAGGGGCGTGGGGGCCATGGAGATCGTCGCAATGGATATGAAGGTCAGCGGGATGTACATCGCACGCCAGCTCAGCTTCTCAGGAGTCTCATTCCGCGTAGAAGAGATCAGCTTGGATGATGATTTCAAACTTGTGTACAACAAAGCTGCTAAACTTGTGAGTTATGAGAAGAATCCCTGAAATCCGAGCCATTCCTCTTACTTTTACTTTAAAGGGATAGTTCACTCAAAAATGAAAATTAACCCATGATTTACTCACCATCAAGCCATACTAGGTGTATATGACCTTGTTCTTTCAGACGAATACAATCAGAGTTATATTAACCCATTCACACGTGGGTTTAAAATATACTAGCTGAGCCCACAGAGTGAGTTTTTTTAGGCGACCGTTATTTTAGAATGTATCGTATCGCCTTATTGTTTCCATGGTGACGCGTCATGCTTGTCATGTGACACAACGCAGCCGCAGTAGATCGCAGATCACAGCTGCCACATGGATCGCTTTTATTTCGTTTTTCCTGTTTTATTATTAATATTCACAAACATGCTTACTATATTATGAAATATCTGATATTCCAATTCTGAAATATGTGCAAGTAAATGTATTTGGTAGTGTTAGTTCGCGCTGAATCCGAGCTGTGGGATTTACAACATGCAAATTCATCCTCTACTCCCGAAAGACGTTAAAGTAAGTCTCCAGTAAACTGGGAGAAGAGCATAGTAAACTTTATAGTAGGGCTGCACGATAAATCGCATGCGATATTTAATGCACATCTTGTCAGAAAGCCGGTTCTGTAATCAGCGGTAAATCTCCATCACCTGCGGGCTTTCACATTGAGCAGCATTAACTACACAGAGCCGTTGTTCACTGATGAGCTGCGCACAAAATCGCGCGAATATGAACATGGTTTAGCGCAGCTCATCAGTGAAAAACGGCTCTGTGTAGTTAATGCTGCTCAATGTGAAAGCCCGTAGGTGATGGAGATTTACCGCTGATTACAGAACCGGCTTTACTGATAAGATGCGCGTTAAATATCGCATGCGATTTATCGTGCAGCCCTACTTTATAGTTACCTACACAATGTGTATATGATATCAATAAAACATGTCGTCAGATTATATTTGTAAGGATCATTATTGCCGCTTCCATAGACATCAGCATGTATTTTACAAACTATAAATGTATGGTTTTGCTAGTACGTATGTGTATTTAAATGTCTGAAACCTAAAATAAGCATTATATGGTTGAAAACACTAGATAATATGACAAGAGCTTAGCGTGTCCGATCTGGCTCCGCGCCAGCAAAAGTGCGAAAGCAGATTTGAATTCAGCAGTTGATCACGTGACGCACTGAACATTCTAATCACACCGGTGTGATCGTACGCATTAAAGGGTTAAAAAATGTTCTGGCTCTTCCAAGATTTATAATGGCAGTGAATGGGGGGTCGAGATTTTGAAGCCCAAAAAAGTGCATCCATCCTTCATTAAAAATGTTCCACACGGCTTCGGGGGGGTTAATAAAGGCCTTCTGAAGTGATGTGTTTGTGTAAGAAAAATATCCATATTTAAAACTGTATAAACCGTGATCTCTAGCTTCGGCTAACTGTCATACTTGTTCACGAGAGAGTGGTGTTCCAGCGGATGACGTAGGCGTAGCGTAAGCCCCGGTGACAATATGCTAGTGTCGTGAGAACCAAGTTTTGTTTACAGTAAAGGAAAACCAGTCTCCTCTTGGCTTATATTGAAATCTTCTGATATTTTTCTTTAAAAATAGAATGGGAGACTTTGACTAGGGCTGTCAAAAGTAGCCAATATCACTCAGACTGTATATTCCCAGTCTTCTGAAGCCAATGTAAGACTAAAACTTTATCTGTTCACTGATTATCTTCCCGTGAAATTATGAAGTTGCAGCAGAGGAGAAGTGTGGCTTCAGAAGACATTGAATACAGTGCAATACTAATATGAACCATTATTACAATACTTTAAAGGTGCATTCTGGTCATTTTGAAGCGTAACATCTTCAGTCCCCGTTCACTTTCAGTATATGAAAAAGAGTGACCAGGGTGTATAGGTTTGGTGGCTAAATGATGACTGAATTGTCATTTTTGGGTTAACTGTCCCTTTAAATGAAGTACAGCAATACAAGTATCTAAATTGGTCTGTAAATGGGTCATTCTGCTGTGTACTAGGTTTTGTTACCAGTACTAGATTGTTACTTGTTACTGACTGTCTGACAGCTTACAGCTTGTTCATTCGTTGTATATCCATCCGCGGATTATCCTTATTAACATTATTGGCTAATATTACTGGTTTAAATAATTGTTGTTTATCTTAATGGTTTAAAAAAAACATTTTCGGCCTGCCAGTATGTCAGTGAATTTAAACTAATGCTTGCATTCAGAGTATAGGTGTGTGTGTGTGTGTGTGTGTGCGTGCGTGCGTGCGTGCGTGTTATTTGAAGGCCAAGTGCCACTATTGTTGTGTTTTTCTAATGTTAAATAAAGGAGATAATGTTTAAGTATTATTGATATTTTTTCCCTGTGGTATCGACTTGGTATCAAGTATCGTGTACTTTTAGTGGTATTGGTACCGACTACTAGATTTTTGGTATCGTGACATCCCTACTGTGTACGCATATCTGACACATAAATCTAATATCTCATTTGCAGTGGGCGGAAGCTTTGGCCGAGTTCATGCAGGCCGCTGACGAGCTCTGCATGAGTTCCAGGAAGTCCCTGTGGGGTCAGTTTTGGTCATCCCACCAGCGGTTTTTTAAATACCTCTGCATCGCCGCCAAGGTTCGCTGCCTGGTGGAACTGGCCAAAAAGGAGCTGGAAGCAGGGAAGGTCAGTCAGATCAGTGACCCTGAACTTTCTCTAATGATTATTTGTGTTGCTATAGGAATTTTACACTTTTTTTCTCCTCTCTTTAGTGTGTCGTGATAGGGCTACAGTCAACAGGTGAGGCTCGAACCAGAGAAGTCCTTGACGAAAACGACGGACACTTAGACAGATTTGTCTCTGCTGCCGAGTAAGTGAATTTTGGGCATCATTGAAACCTTTCTGACATATATGGACACCTTATGACTGCTTCTTTCCAGAGTAGTGCTCTTGCAGTTTCACAATGATAGAAAGGTTTCTCAATATGTGGTCGTCTCACAGGCCATGCATCATTCTGAAACCCAGTTTCATCTGACAATAACCACTTCCTGAGGCCATCAGCTATTACACAAAACACTTTTTTGACACAATAATGTGTTTGTGTGTTCCTCAGGGGTGTGTTTCAGTCGCTGGTCCTCAAACACTTTCCGTCAGAGAAGCAGAGGAGAGAAAAAGGAGCGGGGAACAAAAGGAAACGTGAGTCATGTCGCGCTTTAGTATCACTGTCCATACATTGCCGGTCTTCGTTTATATCCTCATGGTTTAACTGAACATTCTTCCGCAGGTAAGCCACGGGGACGGCAGCCAAAGCTACCCCGACATGGCACTGATGTAGCGGGAGTGATCAACATCAGCGATGACAGTAGCGCAGAGTCTGACGTCTTGGATAGCGACTCCAACTCCTCGCCAGACTCAGTCCAAGACAACAACGACGATGTCATCTTCGTCGATCAAACCAGCTACCAAATGGGTACGCTGACTGTGTATTTCATGGAGCAACTCATATTATCTCCACGCATCCTGATGATTTTCACTTACAGCACCTTTGAAGTAAGCAAAAGCAATTGGTCTTCACTTTCATCCTTCCTTAGCATGGTTAGAGGAGAAGAAACAAGGGCTTCTCAACAAGATCGCTGAGCTGGGAAAAGAACTACCTCTTAACACACTGGATGAGCTCATTGATAAATTTGGAGGTCCAGAACACGTATCAGAGGTCATTATTTATGTATTCATATTCTTATACATAGCTACACCTCAAAAACAAGGTTGTGTCCAAGCGCTAAACATTCTTTGTGTCTGTGTGCCCAGATGACGGGACGCAAAGGCCGAGTGGTGCGTCGACCTGACGGCAGCGTCCGTTACGAATCCCGCGCTGAGCAGGCCCACACTATCGACCAAATCAACGTCAAAGAGAAAGATCGCTTCATGAATGGAGAGAAGGTAGATCTCAGAAAGGAAATCTCCAACCTTTCTGCTCTGATTCCTTTGGTGCATCCAGTTAAGCCTTACTTTACTCCCTTCAGTTGGTAGCCATCATATCAGAAGCGGCCAGTTCTGGGATCTCACTTCAGGCTGACAGAAGGGTGAAGAATCAGCGTCGGAGGGTTCACATGACCCTGGAGCTGCCTTGGAGTGCAGACAGGGCCATCCAGCAGTTTGGTGAGTAGACAGCATTACCTAATGTCTACCTAGTAAATTTGTGGCCATGCACTAGTTATTTCATCTACTCTAAGTGGGTCAGTCTTCCAGCTCCAGGCTAGATCACAAGTGCTGTTGAAAAGTGGTTACACTGTCAACACCCAAACACAGCGTCAATAATTCCACCTGCATCACCCAGCCACAACCTCTGTTATCAAAGCTCTCTTCCCATAAAGAGTGTCACTATACCACAACAACTAGCTGACAACACTTTCTGTTCTTCAGGTCGTACTCATCGTTCCAATCAGGTCACAGCACCGGAGTACATCTTCCTGATCTCCGAACTGGCAGGCGAGCGACGATTTGCATCCATCGTGGCAAAGAGGCTGGAGAGTTTGGTGCGTCCCTGACATGCTAACTCTTAGTTGGTTTCCATTTCTCAGTAATGTAAAAATTGTAATTACTAATATATATATATTATTTTCTCATTTGCTTTAAATAATAATTGTATATAATTGTACTTAAAACCTTGCATTCAATTCACTACTTTGGTCCCGACATTTATAACCGACGTGTTTGCTTTTCACAGGGAGCTCTGACTCATGGTGACAGGAGGGCCACAGAGTCTAGAGACCTTAGCAAATACAACTTTGAAAATAAAGTGAGTAACTGACATAGAACAGTGACTGCTAAAAATACTCAGATAAATCATGGACTAACTCGTGGTCTATTTTGGCTGTTCCTCATAGTATGGCACTAAAGCTCTAGATAAGATTACTAAAGCCATCCTTGGTCAGATTGAAAGCAAGGTACCCCCTCCACAGGACTATCCTGGTGGTGATGCCATGTTCTTCAGAGGTAAACAGGTTTTGTGCATTACTCTTACTCACATTAAGATGTGGATCAGGTAGAACCTTGATCTCACCAAAGCCACCAATGCCTTCTAATCTTAGACATGAAGCACGGTATGATGGACGTAGGCATGCAATGCAGTCAATCACGCTTGGGCATCAACACTGAAAAAGGTAAGGTTTCCACAAGAGACATATCGCATTTGTTTTGTACACACCTGACGTATTTCCTCACATGCATACACATATCTCCCCACATCATGTGACTCCTCTTTGATTTAGACTGCAATATCACCAAGTTCCTCAATCGGATACTGGGCCTAGAGGTGCACAAACAGAACTCCCTCTTCCAGTACTTTACAGACAATTTCGACTACTTGATCGAAAAGGACAAGAAAGAGGGCAAGTATGATATGGGAATACTGGGTAAGAAGCACTTCTTCTGTTGGTATGGTATTTTACGTTGGATTGATATGCTTAGATGACAACCAAGTATCTGCTTTCTCTCAGATCTGGCACCAGGCAATGATCAGATTTATGAAGAAACACAGGAGAAGTTTCTAACAGCGGGAAATCCTCAAGATGGTCAAGTTACCCTGTACAAGGTCAGTATTTTTTAAAAAGTGTGCATGATACACAAAGTTGCATAGATTCTTCCATACAGAGGTTCACAGAAAACAGCTCTTAAATGGTTGAGCTTAGAAAATATGCCTAAGGCACATGAGTTTCATGCGTGACACGCACTAAAAAACACGCTAATCATCCCTTCCACCAAGAGCAAAGTTTATTTTGAGAGCTTACTCAATGAGGACTGGTTTAACAGCCGTTACTGAAAGTGGCTCCTTGACCGAGAATAAACCACACTGCAAGACCTTTCTCTTCGCATATATTTGGGATAGCCAGGACATGTTGGACATAAGGATGTAACGATTAACCGTGAGCCGGTTGAAAATCGATTCAAATATGTGACGATTAAAATCGGTTGAGATGCCTAACAAATCGCGATACAATTGGAGTAGGAGTTTATATGAATGTATCTCTGAGGGGAACTGACTGTCTTTAGAAACGTTTACGTGGTATTTTCTTTTCACCATGCCTCTGAATGATGCATATTAAAGTAGAGTTCATAAGCACAGTGCTGCTTTGTTTACAGCGGTTACCCAGGAAACACTGTATCATTGCTATTCATAAGCGCCACCTGCTGGCAGAGAGTGCATCTGTGTCTCATTCAGATCGTCTGCTGTTTCGTTCAGATATGTTTTATGTATAGTTTCACAAAACTAAAGTCAGACCATTCTGTTTTTGCTTCAAATTTCGAAATTATACACTAATTTAGACTAAAAACTGCTCATGCTGCATGTATGCTGCATCTTTGTTTGGATCATGATTAAAATGCAGTGGTTGCCTCTAATTTTAAATGGAAAGAGCACAGACAAAGCCTTAGCTTGTTTATATAAAGAGATTTATTTTATTTGAACTTGTTTGATTTGGGGTTTGTTTTAAAATTTCAATTTAGTTTTGTTACATTTAAATTTCACAAAGAAGCTTGCAGCAATAGCCTAATAAAAGGACACCTTTTCATTTACTGTTTAATGTCTTCAATCTCATTTTGTTAAAAAATCGTGAGAAAATCAAATCGTGAGTTGAGTGAATCGTTACATCCCTAGTTGGACAGTAGTGTGGACATGACTGACGAACATTATCTCTGACAGAACTGTTTGTTTTGTTGAACAGATAAGTGTAGATAGAGGTATGCCATGGTTGGAGGCTCTCCAGAAGGCCCAAACTCTCAGCAACCCGGATGAAGGCTTCTATTTATCCTATAAAGTGAGTATATGAGCAAAAACGTCTCATCTTTCCAAATTTGCATGTAGTTTCCTTTTAGTAACACAGGAAAGATTGTTCCTTGGAAGAATCTTTCTCTTCAGGGGTAAAGGAGGGTTCATGTGTCATTAGAGTTCTTCAGTAGTTGACTCTGCCGTTGAACATGTTTGTGCCTGTCTCGTTTGCAGTTGAGAGGTAACTATCCATGCGTGCTGCTAGCCGTGCAAGGCCAGGAGCGCAACATGATCATCTACAAACCAAACATCGGCAAGCAGGCCCAAACGGAAAGCCTTGAGAATCTCCAACAAAAATACCGCAAGGTGTGTTCAAATGTACTGATCAGAGCAAAGGAGACCTTCCTGAAAATGACATGCAGAGCTGCTGTGGAAAACGTCTCTGCTGCCATCTAGTGAGCATTACAGGTTTAAGACACTGTTTAAGTGACGTTTTCTACCCTTGCTTCAGGTCACTCCGGAGGAGGCACAGGATAGCTGGGAAAACCAGTTCACTTTCTCCTTCAGGAAATGTAGCCATGCTAACTGGTGAGAAAAGAGACCTTCCCGACTTGGTACTAGCCAAACTGTGCCCAGAGATTCTAACATGTATGCATGTTTCCTGCAGGAACGGGAGGTGCAAAAAGGTAGAGGAGGGTCAGGAGTGCTTAATGGGCACTCGACTGCGTCAGTATCACATGTTGTGTGGTGCTCTGCTCCGCGTTTGGAAGCGCGTGTCCGATGTGGTCGCTGACGTCACCAGCTCCAGCATTCTCCAAATTGTCCGCCTCAAGACCAAGGACAGCAGCAAACAAGTTGGTGAGTCAACCCGTTAACCCCTTCCTGAGGAGTTCCTGACTAGCAGATTATGATGCTCTGGTCTGATATCCAAAAGGTAGTAGGTTCAACGACACCACTACAGCCGTTTGAAGGAAATCAGCATCTTGAAATGGATGTTCTCTCTTTCTCCCAGGTATTAAGATCCCAGAGAACTGCATGTCAAAGGTGCGTCAGGAGTTGTTGAGGATGGATGCAGAGGTAAAGCAGCGACGTCGAGAGAAGGAGCAGCAAGCTCAGGAGCAGCGTCAGGTCGAGGAGCAACAGAGGCTGATGGCACAGCGTCAGCTTCAAGAATTTTTCACCCCGAATTTGTTCACCACTTTGCCACCTCCCAACCTGGCCAGCTTACCCACCCCAAACGTATCCTTCCCCTCATTCCCTTCCATTGAAACCCCTTTGGAAGAAATCCTGGACTTGACGGTTCCCAATTCCTCATCCTCCTCCCAAGTTAGCACTCAAGCTGACCTGGGTGTGGACAACCTCTCCAGGCAACCCGACCCTACGGTGGATGACTTCAACCTTGAAGAGTTTATTCAAGTGCAGCCGCAGCAGGAGAGCCAGGTCATACAGGAAAGCAATTCAGCACGAGACAAAGACCTGTTAGACATGTTATTGTCCTTGAACTCATTTATAACACCCCTTAGTCAGACTGTCCCTGCCTCTTCCTCCTCAGATGCACCTTCGTCGGTACCCATGGTCTTTTCAAATTCCTTCTCTTCTTCCTTGTCCAATTACCAATCTTCCTCGTCGCTCGTCTCTCTCCCCCCTACGGACCAGCAGATGCTCCCGTTACCCAACAGCCACTGCAGCTCTGAAGCCAACATAAACGTACGAGAGGTGTTGAACAGCATGCTGCGAGGTGGAACAGAACCACGCCAGTCCATCATTAAGTACCAACAACCCGAGTGAGATCCTTCCAGTTGGACTCTCCTGTAAACGCGCACACACTCAGGGCTGTAGTCTGACCACTGCCGGCATCCTTCTCCGCCATTGGTCTCGGTTCCACAAGCATGAGATTCTGCTTCACAAGATGGGAGGAAGTTTGGTGTTCGCTCTGTTCTCGAGTTGAGTATGATCCCTACACATTTTGTCTCTGGAACTTCAGGATAGTTACTGAGGTGGTCATCCCTGTTTCAGCATCCTGAATTTTAGACACTGGGGCTTCGAAGAGTATTGATTTACCTGAAATAGTTCAAGCGCAAATCTTGGGTTTGGTTTCGGTTATATCATACCACATGGTACAGTATATTTTGCTCAAGATGGCAGGAGTGAAAAGACACTTGAGGTACCATTTTGGTTCCTCATTGGAGGAACCCTCTGGGGAAGCTCCAGGCACCTTTGAAGGTGCCTCAGATGTTCTTTTGAGTCCTGAGAGATCTTCAGTATATATTTGAAATGCCTCAAAGACTTGCTTTCATTAAGGGGTCACTAAAGCTGTAAGTTCCTTATAGAACATTACTGACTCTCTCCATTTGAAAGTGTGCCTAGAGGTTCTCCAAAGGGTTCTACCAAAGTGCCGACCAAAAGGAACCCCAAATGGTACCTCATTTTTCTGTAGTATCATTTTTTTGTGGCCACAGATTCCAAGTGGGCCTAGCTGAAGTTATACGAGCCTCACATATGCAAGATGTACCGCAAGGAACCTAAGCTTTGTTTTGCATCGAACAATCATCAGCTTTACATTTCCATGATGAACTTCTGTTAAACAAAACACTTTTCCTGAGGAGCAAGAGAACATGTGCCTTTGGAACAGACAGTGGAATGTAGACGTAAACACATACTCCTGTACCGTTCATGTGCCGATGTTTGTAACGTATTTATTGCCTTTATTTATCAGGCCTTGAAACAGTGTACCAGTAGGAGAGCGTAACTACCTACAAATCACTTACCTGTGCAGCTGTCTCTCTGTTGTTCTAAAATAGAACAGTCTGTCCTGCTGTCCCCGGTCTCGCAATGTAACAAGACAGAACGGTAACGATGTATTAGCTGATTGATTTATTGATCCCAAAAGGACTTTCGTCGCACTTCGGCCCTGTCTTAGTACAATATTTTCATTGTGACCTAGAAACTAAAAAGTCCTTTCTCCCTCACAATCCAGTGTGGATAAAAAAAAAAAAAGATCAGATTTCTTCGTTTGATGCAATGTGAAATGCATCCCTGGTACAGTCAAGAAGGGGCAATGAAACTTTTATCGAGTTGAATTTTAGCCCTTATTTAATAGATTCATTGTCAGATGTTTTAAATATTTGTATAACAATTACTTGATTATTCGTATTTAATTTTAAAGGGACATGTTTTAGATAATTTTTGATGTTTTGTTTTATTGATACTATGATATTTTGCAAACAAAACGACAAACAATTCAAAGCGAAATTAAATTTTGTTAGACATTGCTCTGCTGCACTGGGTGGTTGAATACTTTGTTCCTTTTTTTCTGTTTATCTTTATTCTTTATGCAATTGATACATTCTTATATATTTTCACAGCAATAGCCAGATATTAATATTGAACTGAAACCCAAATATTCACTTCAACAGTTCATGGCATCTCAGGATGACATTTATGTCCAATTAGTTAAAGATTTTTATTTAAATTTGATCAAATGTATCCAAATGTTTAATGTCTGCCTAAAGATAAGGTTTGTCTTGTATGTAAAATCCTGTCATTGACGCATATGAAAATATTTATTTAGCCATTATTGCATATTTACTGCACAGTTTATTTTATTCTTTTCATTAAGGGAAATTCTTTCAGCCACATTTGCACAATTTTTTTTGTGAAATTACATGTAGTTTCTTTCTCCTGCATATAGTTGTTACATCCTCGTACAAGAATTTGAATTGTTCCATAATAGTTCAGTGCATCACATAGTTTTTACTTTACAAGTGATCCACAGTGTATTTAGTTTTCTCAGTGCCTCCCCAAAAAGATGAACATGTGACTTAAGTTTCTGTTATGCATTCTAATAATTGTCTTATACAACGAAAGCACTATACGATGAGGCCATGAAACTGGGACAAGTTGAGTCAAATGAACCTGTTACTAAATAGAAATGCATTTGACTTGCTCTGTGTATGATTTCCACTAAAACAGCATAAATGAATTTCTGTCTGGTTTGTGATCCAGTGCTGCCATGTTTGTTTGCTCATAGCCCTTCGTGGGAATGTTCAATACTGTAAACGTCTCGATTCATTGGCTTCGCTTTTATATCAATATGGCATTTACGTAATTTATTGCTATGAAAAAAACATGCTACTGACTATATGTATCTTGAACCGTTTTATTCCTGTGTTCTTATGCTTTTGTCATTTTCTATAGGCCTATTTATAATTTAGATCCAATTGTATATATTGTAAAAAACAAAACAAAAAAAAAAACAAATTGTGCCTTTCGACTGTTTCTTAAAGAAATTGTTTTCTACGTGTATCTAAAGAATGGAACATATTAGAAACTTTGTTATTAACAAAGCAAAAAATAAATAAAATGTTCAGATTATAGAGTTTGTTGTGCGATTATCTTTGGTTAATTGCTGTTGCATTGTTATATGTTGCCAATACAAAAATTGTAGTTTACTGATGACATTTAAAGGGGTCATAGGATGCCCATTTTCCACAAGTTGATATGATTCTTTAGGGTCTTAATGAAAAGTCTGTAACATAGTTTGGTTAAAATTTTTCAATGGTAGTGTAAAAAACATTTTTTACCCTGTCAAAAACAGCTCTTTTCAGATCAAGCCGTTTTTGTATCATTTTCCTTTAAATGTTAATGAGCTCTGCTGACCCCGCCCCTCTCTTCCGAACTGCTCTCAGAGAGACTGTTTACTTCAGCCGCATTCATCGTGAAACTCGCTAATTAGCACATTATTAGGAAAGGCGATTTGCAAAGATTCATTACAAAACATTATACTCACTTCTTCTGTAGATGAGGCTGGATCATGAATGATTCGCGCGAACATAGATGCATTTAGGCAGATCGGGGGCCGACTGATGACAGCTCACTCAGGGCGGGTCTAAGGTAAGACACCAGTCCAGTCTGTGCTGAAACGCTACTGTCAATCAAACTATCGTGGGAGGACTTTGGACTACATGCACTTTTACAAGTTTACAAACAACTTGTAAAAGTGCATGTAGCATCCTATGACCCCTTTAAAATAATTTTATTGGATATATTTTAATTTCAGAGTGCAGCTGATGTTTTTCATGATTTTTCTCTGGAAGTATATAAATATGTTGGTTTGTCCGTTGAACCGGTTAGTGGCTTTGAATGTTTGAATATAAATTTATTTTAGAAGACATCTCTTTGGCTCTTTGGAAGTTTACTAAGGCCCCCTAGTGGTCACCTGTCCTCTGGTTAACAACAATTGATCTTAATAATTCTGTAAGGTACTTCTTCAAAAGATGCCATATTACCATCACAGTATCATAGGGTTGGTACCAATGTCAAGAGTCATGGTAACACCATACCTTTTGTAAATGTATGAAATGCCATAATTCAATCATATTATATACCATTTTGTATTACACTTGACGCCATGATCCATTAAGTTAAGTTTATTCCTTCCTGTTTGGAAATGTAAACTTGCAAATGCAGTGACACAAAAAAGCATTTCATGGTAGCCTGCTATTTTGCGTAATATATGTACTCTTCCTATTATTTTAAAGAATCTTACCTTATTTTTGGTTTGGAATCTTGTTTAGTTGAGGGACAGAAGCTAGCAGCAGCTACGCATTTCAGGCCCAGGGTTGCCAGATTTTCACAACAAAACCCGCCCAATTGCTACTCAAAACTAGCCCAATCGAGGGTTCGTGTCACGAGTGGTAAAATACATGTTTTTTTTTTGTTTGTTTGTTTGTTTGCTTGTTTTTTGTGTGGAGAGGTTCCCCTGGTAAAATTCCCATTCCAGGGTTTTAATATCACGTTATTGGGGTCGCTTCAACTCGTGGCCATGATACAGTGTTAGAGTAGCCCAATTCCGCCGTAAAATCGCGAACTTGGCAACAATGTTCAGGCGTGAGACCGCGCCAATAGCGCACTTTCCTGATGAGGGCGCTATAGCGTAGGGGAAACAATTATTTTACACTAAAATTAAAAATATTTTCTCAAAGACATCTAAACGTATTTTTGACAAAATAACAAAGGGGAAAAAATCTAAAAACATTTTTTTTATAGCACAGTAGATAATACTATAAAAACAATTTAAACCTCAAATGATCTTGTCTTATTTTAACACAAAGACTTACTCAGTTTAACCTATTTTATTTTGACACAATGCATTCCACAATTATTTGGTGGGGCATAATGGAAAATAAGATGAAAAAGTCACTGTGTTTGGTATAGAAACTAGCTTCATGACGAAACTGCCCAAACCACCTGTATTAAACTCCTCCCCCTGCTTACAGGTACACGATCAGGTGCTGTATAGATAGATGCTGGGAAATATAACGAAGCCTTATTAGAAAACTGCAGGTGCCAGGCCCTGTAAGGCCTCCAATACGGAATTACCTGTGAATTTTAGTATTAGTTTTTAAAGCGGACACATACCTAATAAGGTGAGTCGAGTGTTTTTCTTTTCTGCTTTGTGTTTATCGATTGTTTGTGTTGGCCTGAGTCATGTTTCACATTTTGCTGAAATGTAAGCTGTTTGACTGGAAATTAAGGCGAAATTGTAAATAATTGGTGATATTATGTAAACATAACCTGCTTCGTGTGGTCTCTGAATTTATAGCTCGTAGTTTAGATCATATTTTAGATTATACATTATTCTTCTATTCTGCTTCTCTAGGTTGAGTTAGCTGTTTGTGTAGTAGGCCTATGTGTTGCCAGATTGTTTTGCGCAAAAATACACTTTATTGGTCCTCAGTTTTGAGCATTTTCTGTTCTGTCGCGACTCCCCTGTAAAATGATGTTTGTAGCAAAGTTCAGATTTGTTGACAGCTAAATGTGAATAGCCTAATGTTGATGCACTTTAATATCTTTCGTAAGAGAAACATTGTTAATTGTTGTAAGTCTTTTAAGTAAACATACGTCGCGACATGTCCTCAATTTTAAACCACTGTCTTGTGAACATACAGTGGTTTCCTTTAGAAACGAACAGTAAAATTGCTTATTTTTAGTCATTTAAAATTCAGACTCATTGACAGCTATGTGAATGTCGGTTCATTTTAATTTATCTATTACATTATGAGAACCGTTGTTCATTTAAAAAAATGTCATAACTGAGCGATAGCAATGTTCTTTTGAATCTTTTTAATGAACACGTCGAGCCAGTTCACAAATCCAGTCTGAACGAATCGTACGAAATGAATCAGTGTACTGAAAAAGTTATTCTCGAGGGAACTGAACCGAACAGAGAACCGTTTGTAGGACTTTTTTGGTCATTTTCTGACTCCCAATGAACCGAGAACCAGTGAGTTTTAGAGTAAACCAAGAATATCACTGATAGGCCGACAAGCAAGTTCAACAGCAATGTTAGCGCGTTTGCAGTGAGGAGGTACTTTAATCGGTTCCTTGAAGTTCTGTTCAAAAGAACCGATTCGCAGAAATGAGACAAATGATTGAAACAGTGCTGCAGTAAACTCAGCCTAATCTGCAGTAGACCCTCACTGCAGAACAAAGATCCAGGGGGTGGGGTTGGATCCACATCTAGGGGGTGGAGATGGTGGGTTTAGGGGTGGATATGGGTGGGTTTAGGGATCACGGGGTGGAGACGGGTAGGTTTAGGTATATGTAAGGTGGGAGGAGTTGGATCTGGATCCAACCTCGCCCCCTAGATCTTGTGTTCTGCAGTGAGGACCATCTCCTAATCTGGCTCTACTGGTTCTGCCACTCATTTGAGTCAATACGTGCATTGTAGTTTCACTGTGGTTTTGAGAAACAGCTTTCCCATATATCCACATTTCTCTTCAGTGATACTATTCACATGTCTGAGCCAAAGATACAATAGTTTTGAAGGACATGTTTTTGCTTGGTTAGTACAATATGTAGTATTCCCATCAACTGTATTCAATTGTCATTGTAGCCTATGAGTTTTTACACTCTGAAAAGGAGGTGTGTTGATGTCTTAAGGTTTCAGCCAGCCTGCCCTACTAACAAAAGTAGCCTGTGTTTTAAAAACATTTTGCTAACATTCCCATTAAGTTATCTGAATGTTCAAGGCATTAAAGGTTTTAAAATGGATTGTCTTGGTTATGTGTAGGCTACATTAGAGAGAGCATTAAGTTTGCTTATCGTATTGCAAAAGTTATGGGAATGTTATTAAAGACCTGATCACTTTGAATGATCATTCTGTTAAAGAATGTTCATTCATGATTTTGGAGGAACTTTGCCAGAGCGTTACCCAAAGTTCTGGGAATGTTCCCTGTTGGCGGGATGTGTAGAAACATATATGTTCTTTGTTTCCTAATGTTTTCTGCTATGATGCAGAACAACAAATGTAAATAGTTCTGAAGAACTGGGCTGGACCACCAGAAACCTATGGCTTCCTATTATGAATGTGTTTGAGGGGGAGCACATTAAAACAACACCATCTGACATTTGTACATTCCTCCTACATTTCCTGTCAAGACTGTTGGCCTGAGGGTGTGAAATGATTCCAGTAAGATGACCACACTTGGGTTTTTGAAAAAAGTGTGCTTAGATTTTGACACTTCCTAAATTTATTTTTATGTTACTACAGAGATGAAGCCCACGTCTTTGATATGGGAAATCCAGCCGTGTTCCATTGGTAATTAAACATTGTGCCTGTTGCTATGCTGTTGCTAAGGTGTTCAGAGTGGGTTTTAGTATGTTGTTATGTTTGCTAGGGATAGTTGACTTAAAGGGACAGTTCACCATAAAAATGAAAACTCTGTCATCATTTACTCACCCTCATGTTGTTCCAAACCTGTATGATTTTCTTTCTTCTGCAGAACATATAGTGTGATGTAAACACTATTGTTACCAACTTCCATTGAGTAGAGGGAGAAAACACACCGTGACATTTCTCAAGATATCTTTTGTTGCACAGAAGAAAGTGGTGGATGACAAATTACATGGCTTAATGCTCGTTTTTTGTCTGAAATAACTTATTCTGAAAACTTATTCTTATCCCATCCATGATGTGCATTACTATAATTTCAGAATTCAAGTTAATTTTTAAAAGATTTTTGTAATTCCTGTGATGGCAAAGCTGAATTTTCTATCACATATTGAAGAGAAATCAATCTAATATGCTGATTTGGTGATCGAAAAAACATTTCTTATTCTCAATGTTGAAAACAGTTGTGCTGGAAACTGTTACTTTTTTCAGGATTCTTCAGAAAAAGTCTTTCAGAAAACTCAAAATAACAGTATTTATTTTAAATGCAGCTTTTTTTTAACATTACAAATGTCTTTGCTGTCACTTTTAATCAATTTAAAGGGATAGTTCGCCCAAAAATGAAAATTACCCCATGTTTTACTCACCCTTAAGCCATCCTAGCTGTATATGTCTTTCTTCTTTCAGACAAATAAAATCA